ATGCTCTGAAGCGACTGGTCCGTGTGCATTGATTCGCATGAAAGCTGCGGGCCGATCGCCGAGTTCTTGAAAGCGCTGCGCACGCACTACGCCACGTTGGGCTACGCACAAAGGCGTTTGGCTCAAAGTCCGACAGATAGATGGACAGATCGATGGATGTAGACAGATCGAGAGATAGGTAGCCAGATATATGAACGCCTGGTATAGACTCCTGTGAATTTGTGACTCCTTGGGTGTGTTTTGCATGGTTGTTGTTGGGAAGCATTTTGCATTTTTGCTTATAGTGGTTTAGTGGTTGAAATCCAACCACTTAAGTGCTAAAATGTAAAGTGTTGCTCCCGTTCCAACGTCAACCAAATTTTTTAAAAGGGCGAACCTTGGGTGTGTTTTCATGGTTGTTGTTGGGAAACATTTTACATTTTTGCTTGTTGTGGCTTAGTGGTTGAAATCCAACCACTTAAGTGCTAAAATTTGAGAATTGTTGCTCCCCTTCCAACGTCAACCCAGTTTTTAAGGGCACAGCGAAAGGAAGGTTGGTACAGAAAAAGGAAAAATGGTACCCTTCTTCTAACCTCTCTACTGGAGGACCTAGTGGGTGTGATTTTAAAGGGGCGAAAGGAAGCCGATTCATGCCGGTGGATCTTGATCTGCCAGGGCTCGCCGGCCCGCGAGCCGGTAGCAGAGCTGCAGGCACGGACCGAATGAAAGCCCAGGTCCGGCATTGTTCACAATGAAAGAGCTAGGGGTTACGCAGGCATTAGCCTTTGGTTCCATTTACCAAGGTGCCATTTTGGTACCATTTTTCGAGCCACAGCCAAATGGAAAGTAATTAGTCTTACAACCTCCTGTCAGCTTACCAACTGGCGCAGGATGCATCCACAGTTCTACGTTGGATTCAACCCCACTTCCCTCAACCCCGCCCTGTTTGAAGGAAACCCGGGGGATGCTTTCATTCGTTTCGCAATATGGGCAACCGACAGTTTTGCTGGTAGTCTATCGCTGGTTTGGGGAAGGAAGCAGGCCCCAATTGTCCGAGGTCCACTTGGGAACGCAATTGTTCTTTGCGAGGCTCATAGGCTGTTTAGCACGCGGGTCAGAAATCGCACGTGCAGTTGTGCCGAAAGCCTCAGTTTTCTTTAGTAGAAAAACGGTGAGAAAGGGCACTACTGCCTAGTTTGGCTTTTGGGTGTAGGGCCTACACTCTAAGAGGGTTGAGGGGGGTTCCCCAAGTTGCTGAAAGCGTGTCACACTCTGTCACACTGGTTTTCTAAGGGGTGGCGTGCTATTTGCTTTTATTTGAGTTGGTACCTGCTTTGTCAGCTCATGGGTGTCTTTTTTGAGTCTCTTGCCTCACTTCCCGAGTGGACGGCCAAAAACACATAAACTGAAACTTGTGTTTACGAACGAAAGGGGGCAAACCCAACCAGTATACAGTCCAGGAACTCAAGAAGTGAGTTGAGGGTACCTACTTTGGTTTTGTTTCAACAGGAAATCAAACGGACAGCCACCCCTTTTTTGGGGCATAAGAATAGACGTCCTGAAAAACAGCGGGTACTACGCCCGTATGGTCCATGAGGTCTCGGGCCTTGGGGAAGCCATCAATGCCGGGCTCTCGGGCTGTGGGGCTCGAGGATTCTCTCGGACTGAGGGACTCCTCTCCAGGTAGAGGTTCCTTCCGCAGTCGTCCAAAAAGGGGATCCCCGATTTTGAGACACAGGTTTCCCAGCGAAAGGGTGTCAACTTGTACCGTTTCTGGTTTGGATGGGAGGGTTCCAAAATAGACTACAGAAAAGAGTTGGTGCCCTTAGTTTGACCTCTCCACTGGAGGACCTAGCACCCATATTTAGTCTAAACTAGAATATCAGCCTTCTGTTTTGGAGGAGAATGGAGGTGAAACATGCCTGGAGTCTCAAAGAAGGAGTGGGCACGCTGCCCCCAATTCGGGATTCGGGGGGGGGGGGAGGGGAGGCAAGTGATCTGGACCCAGAAGGAGTTCCTCGTACGGTCTTTTGTGTTCCATGTCAATTAAACTTGTAGGGGAGTATCAAAATGAGCCCCTTGTTTGCCACTCGGGCCACATGTTTGAACCCCCACTAGGTCCCCGAGTAGCGCCCTTTTAACCTTTTTTGGGGGAGGGTTCAAACCTACTAAAATAGACTACAGAAAAAAGGGTGCCCTTATTCTAACCTCTCTACTGCAGGACCTAGAATTGTAGGGGAGTATCACAACGAGGACCTTGTTTGCTCCTCGGGCCACATGTGTGAACCCCCAGGTTCTAAACTTGACTGCTACTGGGTTGGATCTTGAGACTTTAACTGTTGGGAAAGCAAGGGGTTTTTCACTAAACCCCATAAAAGTTAAACTTTTTGCAGGGGGGTCAAGTAAAAGGGCAACGCTTTTGTTGAGGGGCCACCAGTCCCAAGGGGCAACACGGCCATGAAAGCTAGGGTTGGGGAGCCATCGGCGAAGCGGCCCCCATGTTGGTTCCGCAGACAACGTGTTCCATTGAAACCCGGATGTCCCTTCCAATTGAGGATATAGGAATAGTAAGATAATAATTTCCGAATACAAACACAATATTGTTATGTCCAACAACTAAATTGGGAGATGGAGGATATATATTTTTTGGAATGTAGAAAACAACTCGTTCTTATTTATTTCAACAAAAGTAATGGGCAAAGGGCGGCCTCCCAAGGAGTGCAACTCCACACTCTGATGGTGCACAAACCTGTTGACTTTTGGTTCTACCAAAAGGGTTATACTGGTGTATTTTGGCCTTACCACAATCACAATCCTCGTAAAGCCAGGTAGTAGAACTACCCGACCAACTACATTAGCCAATCATGGTGTGCCAAGAGGAAGAAGGAGAGAAATGTTTTATCCACTGGGCAGCAAAAAGGGTTTCACGTTGTGGAGGGGATTAGTTCGACGAGCGCAGTCTCGCTTTGATCCCGTTCAGGAAAAGTGCATATTTGCATCTTTCCCGTCTGATTTTTGGGTAGTGTCGAGGGTCACTTGCTCATAGGCGAGGCCGGCCAGCTTGGCCTTTCAGCAACGGAGCTTCGCAAGCCAACCTGAGCGTCATGTTTAAGCGACAAAGCGAACTCAGGTGTCATTTCGGAGACCTAAAGGTTAGCCCAAATCTGGTCCCAGTGTTTTCATTTACCTGAGTAGGCATCCCCATAACTCCCATGTATGTTGATGAATTGTGAATCAGATCTAGAAAACGCTCATGGCTGCAACGGTCTCTATCCAAGGAGAATCATCTTCGACCAAAGCGCCAAGATGTTTTTGTGGCTGGGGATAAACCTTGAGGATGTCGAGGTTGATGTCCCAAAGATCTTATGGCTGAGGGGGTCGCCCTTTGCGGACGCCTGGCTGACAACATATTTTGCCTTGTGCCACTGCCCTCTGATATGGGTTTGGGTATACCTGTCATGTAATTATGTCAGTTGTTGGAAATATCGTTTCAACAGCTCAATTATGCGACGCAAGTGTTTGCCAAAAAAACGGTTGACTCTACAAGAATCGAATGGATCAAACCAGCATAAGGGCCTTGACCATTGCATGAGCCAAGCGTTCAACGACCTTTTCGGCTCAGGGGTTTGAAGGGGTGGCTCGAAGCCAAATGTCCGCCTCCCAACGGATCCTTCAGTCAGGTCGAATATTGAAAAAGTGACGGATGTCGATGCCTGCATCAGCCTGTATCCCATTCAGCAGCCAAACCTGTGCCTGGCTCCAGTGCTGTCCATGACCTCAGGTGGCGGTGGCTGTGTGCACGCGGCTCCAGCAGGAAGGTCTGGCAGAGATCGAAAGCGCCAGGAAGCCAAGAGTGCCGCGCGTCGGCCGGATTCCAGCCACAGGGGTGATGTATGCCATGGTCTACGGACCCTTTCATCGGGTTGGCGTGGATGATCTTCAACCCAATAGGGGTTCTAGGAAAAGCTGGAAAGGTTCTAGGGAAAAGAAACGGAGGGGGCGTCCTGGGATCTGCTAGGTTTGGCGAGATCCCGCAAAATCCTCGGCAACATGGCCGGGGAAAAAAGGCACGGAAGTCTCCAGATGCCTAGAAAGAATTTCCACTCTTTAGGGGACTAAAAATATTGAGGTACTCACTCCCTGAGCTGGACTTACTCACTTTTTGGGGTTTGGTTGCCATTTGAGTCACAAATAAAACGGTCCACTTGGTTTTGGCCAATCCACTTGAGCCAAAGGTGTTCCTCGCGTTCCTCGGTTTCAAAAGCCTTTAAGGAAGTCTTGGTCGTTGAGCTCTTTGGCGCGGTGCTTTAATCAAGGAACCCTTGAGCCAGTGCCACCCAGTAGGTGCCTTCTAGAATGGCATGCCCGCTTTCTGTTGGAGGCCCCTTTTCTCACGTTGTGGATAAAAACGGAGAAACGGGGCTTGGTAAAGCAACGACTCCGTGAATTGTGAAAGTGGAGTGCTTGTCATGGTGTGTCAAGCCGGGATGTATAGTATAGACAAACAGGCAGAGACATGTTGTGTCGGCTCCTAGAAAACTCAGTAAGCTGTTACCTAGAGGGCCTGTGCGGGGGGGGAGGGCTATCCCTGGAGGAGAAGCACCCCAAGGCAACTTAACACGAGTGGCCTTCCAGATCGCCCTCCGCGAACAGGACAACCAAAGACCCAGCCACAGCCAAAGCAAAAATGTATACTCGAATTTTCCACCTCGGAGCGTCCTTCACTGGGGTCCAAAGTTGGACCTGCCATGTCCAATCGCTCGATTCCGCCGCCTTGCAGCTTGGAGACTCTGGATGAAGGCGATCCAACTTGCAGTTTTTGGTCCGGCATCGAACAATTCGCAAAACCACGGGTCCCCATTTCAAAGCCTCTTTCAGCAAGATGCTCGCTCATGTTTCGTGTCTTCTGGGCTTCTGGGGTGGTTTTTTGGGGGGTTAGCTCGTTCTTCCTTATTTTTTCCTTTTGAGGGCGGTGCTCCTCGGTTTCTTTGGGGGGGAGACGCTCGTCTTCACCCACAGCCATGGCGGAAGAGGACGCCCGTGAGTCCGCTCTGCTGAGACCCGAGGAGCATGAAAGCTTCAGGCGCTGCTTTCGGTTTCCGGTCTCCCAAAGATGGAACCACCTCAGTGCTTGGGACCACTCGGGGTTTGTCCCCATTTCCGTGATACAAAGCTAAGCTTTCCTTGATCCACTTTCAAGGAGTTCAAAGTTGGCGGGTTAAAGAAATGGTTCTCTTTCTCATTCTACTTCCCTTTCCCACAGATTCATTCTTGGGGGTTGGATCTGCGAGCTGCTTCTTGGGTGACTCGCAGGCAGTTCGCTCGAAAAGAGCTTCCCTCCATGTGGGCGCTTGGGTGGCCCATCGCAGTGAGCATGCGCCTGGGCAGAGACTTCGCTCCTTCGCGCCTTCCCGCCAAGTCGGGGTACGGTCAGGTCCCGCGAAAGGGCGCCAACTCTTACGTACCGTTCCTTTTTTGGTTGGGAGGGTTCCAACCTAACATAGACGTCCTGCAAAAAGGAAGTACCAACTTATTCTAAGCTCTCTACTGGAGGACCTAGGATTTGTTTATGGCACCTGGGAATTTGCGATTGCGATTGCGGGCCCCCACCGGGAACTTATTCAATGGTGGGCCGTGTCCCAATGGCTCTCTTCGTATTACACACAGGGTGTAGAAGAATCTGGGGCAGAATAGAAAGATCCTTAGATACAAGGGCGCAAGCCAATGTTGACCGCAACAAACCCGGCGGATTCCGGCATGCAGCCCGCTTTAGGGGCTCTTGTTCCTTTTAGTGTTCTTGAATCCAGGAATCAGGGAGGGGTGCGTCCCCAAGACTTAAGCCAACAACAATCATGTTCAGTTGAGGGGGCGGAATATGGCGGAATTGCTTGCCCTGCCCTCCCTTCCTTCCTCCCCCTCCCCTCCCCTCTCGCCAAGACGGCTCCCGACCGGCAAATTCGTCCTTCCAAGAAGTTTATTTTTCTAGGTACCCCTCCCACAGTTTCTTTCTCTAGGTCCCCCAGTAGTCCTAAAATAGACGTCCTGAAAAAAGTTGGCATACTCCAACCTCTCAAATCTGGAGGACCTGTTTTTTTTTGGCTGCTTGGACCTCTGCTTCTTTCATGATTCCCCTCGCGGCACGCCTGCCTGTGAGCAGACCTCTAGCACTTCAGGTGCCGCGCTCAACCAGGCAGCCATGGCTAGGTCCCCCAGCTAGGTGCCAACTTGTACCGTTTCTTTTTTAGTTGTGAGGGTTCCAACCTACTAAAATAGACTACAGAAAAAAAAAAAAGGAAGTACCAACTTAGTCTAACCTCTCAAATCTGAAGGACCTAGATGGTCAGGCTTGCTTCCGATTGATCTGGCTTCTTTTCGCTTCCTTTGGGCTTCGTTCGCTTAAAGCAAAGTTCTACTCTTGTGCCAGGGTGGTTCGAACTCCGACGGTGAAAGAGTAGTCACCATGGACAAAGGGCTCCCTTTGCAAAGGGCCCCTCCAGCCCAAACCAAGGGTCGTTGTTGGGTGGGAGACCGATCACTTTGGAGTCGTTTGATGGTGAACTGCATCCGAATGTTGAGACTAGCTTTGAAGTTGATATATGCTGGGTGTATTGGATGTGTTGTGGCGAAGATGGTTGGCTTCGTCGGTTTCCCTGAATACCCCCAAAACTGACACACAAATCCATTGGCCTACACTCCAAACAAGCTCATCCCCCAAAGAAAGACGATCCACGCTCTTCGCAGTGCCCGTCGCGATCTCGATCCTCTCAACGATCTCTGGCCACCGCGCGCGCGCGCGTCCAACCGCGCTCGATCAGGTTTTGCCGCTTCGCGATGTTTTCCATGGACTCGGCCTTTGTGGGCCATCTGGGAAATCGGCCGCTAGAGGCCTACCAAACGTGCGGGCCCCGGTGTCGATCGGTTTCCGGGTTCGGCCCGGGTTCAACCGGTAACCGGACCTGAAAAAGGTGGGGACTGGTTAGCTTATCTCGCTCCCTGACTTCCGTTTCGGGCTCAGGTTTGGACAACTTGAGTCGCAAATCAGAAGTTCAGCTGGGTTTGGTTTCGGCCAATCCGAGGAAGTCAGACTTGTCCGACAATTAAGTCGTTCTTCTCTGGACTTCGGGGATTGGGATTGGTTCACGAACTTCAGCCCGGGGAAAGGGAAGTTGAGTTGACTCACGAGTGGCGTAGACGGGTTTTGACAACATTTGACTGTGACTCGCAAGGCGAAGGAAGACCTTTTGGATCCTTTTGCAAACGGTTTGCCATGTTTCCAAACGTGTCTTGGGTAGAATGGTAGTGCTCCCCCCTAAAAGTGCAGAAGGTCTTTAGGGAACCTCTCCATTTGGGAACCTTTCCGCTCCACCTGCTTCCAGCTTCAGGTCTTCTGTCTCTCCGGCAGTGCCCGTTTTCGAGCCCACCGCCACGCCGTTGGCGATGATGGCGGAAGCGGTGAGCGGGGACACCATCTATTCGCCCAAGCAGCTGGGATTTTTCGGGGGACTGTGGGTGGACGAAATCCATTTCGCACCACTTTGAAACCATGGGAAACCATTGTTTGTTGGTATTTACAGGGGAATCAATTCATCACAGGGGTTTCTTGGTGGAAATGGATTTCGCCCATCCACAGTGCCAAAAAACGAAGTCCTTGGGTGAGCTCACTGACCTGGGGGCCATAATGTGTGCCATGATCAAAAGGCGACGTTACTTGGGCTCAGTGATCGTCATCCACCTGGGAGTAAGGATCCTTCACCAGCGATAGAATGATTCTTATTCAAGGGACCATCGCCATAGGCCATATAAGGCATTTTTCAGCATGGCACATGTCACAGTGCTTGGGGATTCCTTGCAATAAGAGTGTTGGAACCATTGAAGTTGGTGCTGGCGATTGTCCAAAGGGAACAAACTTCAGCCGGTCAGGCCCCTGAAAAAGTGCAACTGATACTTTATCGTGGCGTGTGGGTTGATGTTTGCCTGAGAGGGTCTTGATTGTTCCCTTGCAGCCTTGGTTGAGAGATGCTAAATATGGAAGACCGGACTATCATTCTAACCTTGAAAATTCACGAGTTCCCGGAGCTTACTCGCTGCTTGCTTCTTTGGTCCTCAAAAAGGCCGTTTCGGGCATGCCCAGGTGGTTGTTTTGTCCTGTTCTGAGCTGTCCTGCGGCTTGCTTCTTTGGTTCTCTTCTTTTCGTGGGGCTGCCAAGATCAAAGTTTTACCGAGATCTGAAGCACCTCCCCGGCCGCTTGCCGCAAAAGAGCTCCACCTTGAACCCAAGGTCGCCCACAAGGAGGTTCCTGTGCACATTGTGCGTTGGGTGTCCATGTTCATTTGTAAGATACTTCTCATTTGCAGCCCACCGGTTTGATCCTTTGGTTTTCCTTCTCTTTATTTAGGGAGGGTTCCCCTAAAATAGACTACAGCGGAAAAAAAGGGGGAAAAAAACGAAGAAGAAGAAAAAAAGGAAAAAATGGAGAAAAAAAACGAGAAAAAAAATTAAATTATTTTTTTTTTTAAAAAAAAAAAAAAAAAGGGGGGGAAAACACACAAAAAAAGGTACCGACTTATTCTATCCTCTCAAATCTGGAGGACCTAGTGGTTTGCGTATCTCCCTTGGGTTTTCAAAACGGGTTTCTTTGAGCCAGCAGCGCGAATCCTAGGCAGTACCTGGCCGCCTCGAGCTTGTCAGCGCCCCGGCGAAGGCGTTTCTGACTCGGGGCCCGGCGCGCGGGCGGAGTTTGGGCATCGGAGCTTGTGATTTGTAGCCTGGGGGAAAGACGCGACAAGTATAGCTGTCCTTTTTAGGCTCGTTTCAAAATAGATGGGTTCCACTGGTGTAGATGGGGTTTAGTTGTTGTTGTTGTTTTTTGTTTACAAGATTTATTTTCTATTTGAAGCAGCCTGGGAAAGAAGGTGCTTCTTGCGGCAGCAAGGCTCTGTACTCGCGCCGCTGTTTGCTGTTTGCAACCTTGAAAAGGCCTTGGTGGCAATCAAGGGCACCCAGCATTCACAGAAAAAATCGCCATTTAGGCATGATGGTTCAAGGGGAAGTGCCCCCTGTCAATCTGCCAGGTGTCTTAAGCCGGTTCAACATAAGTTTGGAGTAGTTGGAACCCTGGCAAGACTTACTTCAGTAGGCTACTGCTTTCTCGAGTTCCAGATTCCCTAAAAATGGTGATGTTCTCTTTCGGTTTCCCTTCAAACCAAGATAAACACCCTCAAAACAGCACACCCACTTTGCAGAGTATAAAAAATAATAATGAGCAACTTAGGAGACTTGCAAACCGCTTAAGTCCCAGACAATCCAAGTAGCCCGCCCAGCGGTAAACAAAATGTTTGAACTTTTCTAGCAATCTACTACAGCGAGTTGCCGGTAGGGTTTTCGCGCTTCGGACGAGGATATGGTGATCCTTTGGTGATGTTCCTGTGGTTTCCCTCCAACCCCCCAAAAGGTTGACAAAAACAAACCGAGCCAGGGGACCCACACAATTGATATTTTTGGTTCCCCTTTGGTACTTAAGGTGGAAACTCTCCAAAATCGCATGCAACACCCTCTGTGCAAAGCCTGAGGATATAACCCTCTTACGGGACTAAGAAACCAAGGTCAATGCTTTATAATCATGTTCACCCGCTTAAGTCCCAGACCATCCAAAGAAAAGCACAAGGAATGCCTTCAGGCCCCCCATAGAAAGAAAAACAGGGTACTCTTCAAAAAGGCGAGCCCGAGCGAATCGGGTGTGGGTCAAGAATAAGTACCCAAAGTGGCTTGCTCTGGTAGATGGAAATGGGGACTAAAACCTCCGATTTTGTTGTTTAATTCACCAACAGCTGAAATCTAGTTATTCTCTGCCCACATAGGCTCTGGCATGGTTTCGGAAAGGAGGGTTCCAGTTGGGTTCCGTACGCTGTTGGGTCCTGATACCACCTTCGGCCTTATGTTGACCCATCATCTGAGGATATGGTACCTACCCACGAGCCCCCCCAAAAAAGAAGAAAAGGCAAGATTCTGGGTACCTGCAAAAAAAATAAAACGAATTCGCACTAGCCACGAGGGGATTCTGAGGATATGGTGACCAACTTCCTGACGACACCGCTGTTGGCCATGTCCTTCGGGCTGAATCCCCTGATCGCCCAATCCATGGGCTCCGGGAATTTGAAGATGGTGGGCACATGGCTGAAGCGCCTCGGAGACCGCAGACCTCCACATGGCTCTCGTCTTTTTGTGGAGTTGGTACCCATACGTCCATAGCGGCTGAGCCGTCAATGCATTCTCTTAGGTGGATGCTATTACCTCCATATAAGTGGCTTGTCTGTTTTGGAGTTGGTACCCCTGTTCCTTCATTCTCTTTGGCGGATGTTAATACCTCCATATGGCTGGCTCTCGTCCTCTTTTCGAGTTGGTTCCCCTTTTTCGGTGAAGGGAAGCCAGTCATTTCAGGGCTCCCCTAAAAAAAGACAGCATATGGATGGGTGTGTGTGTATGTGTGTGTGTGTGTGTTTTAAGGGGGAATCTGCACTCCCCCCAAAATGGTGGGTTGTCCTTTTTTGGTTTCCCTTTAACCATTCAAAAAGGGACACCCTCGAAAAAGCTCCCATATTTGTATGTGCAAGGTTCGGTCAAAATGACTGGTCCATTGTCCATTTCGGAGGAATATTCCACCAGGGGACCCACTCCCTTCAATACATTTAACGTGTGAAGCACAAATCCAGGGTCACCAGGGGCTAAATGAATCCACGCAGTCAGCCTACTTTTGGGGCGGGGGTGCCCCCAGTAGCATCCCCGTGTTCAATAAGGAGTATCTGTCCTTGTTCCTCGGCTTGGGTATATCGGCTTGGAAAATCGGCCGGCGCCAAGTCCAGGCTGATTTTGAGACTGGTAACTCAGAGGTGCGGCTGCTATTCAGCCTCTAAAGATCAACCCAATGTAATACATGGTTGTCGTTGGGAAACAACATATACATGTTTGCTTATTGTGGCTTAGTGGTGGAAATCCAACCACTGAACTGTTAAAAATTGATATTTGTTGCTCAACCAATGTAAGAAACCGCTGGATCGTCGCCGTTTAGAGCCGATGTAGGCTGGCCCAAGCCGCTGAAATCTCCAGCTGTAAGATCCCTGGGAATGTTTGGCAGACTTGGAACTTTCTTTGGAGCTTTTGCTTTTTGCTTCGACTCTCTGTTGCTTTTAGGTGTCCCACCTCGCAGAAAAGAACGGTCTTCCCTTTAGATTCCTTCAAGACCACCCCAAAAAGGGTTCCCTCAAAAAAACACACCCACTGGCGTTCCAACTCCTCGGGGAAATGCATCGGGTATCCTGTGAGACCTGGAGAAAAGCCCCAGGCTGAGCATGCTGTGTGTGACACTGGCCACCATTCCCTTCGTCACGGGCTTCTTCTTCGTGGACGACATCCTCACAGCTCTGCACATGGACCCAGATGTTTCCTGGTCCAAAGATTTTTCTTTGGGTTGGGACGGTCGTCGGCAACTGCCTGGTGGTTCCCAGCCATCCGGTTCCTTTGGCGGTGCGCCTTTTCGGGCTTAGCGGGGGGGGGGCGTCCCATGACACCACGAGTTCAGCTTTTGGCAGGGGATCGGAGAACGGACAGCCCAGGCGAGAGTTTCCTTCCCTTGAACATTCCAGACACTGCTTGGCAGAAAGACCCTGCAGGTTGGGCACGGGCCAGGCACAGCGGCTGCTTTCCCCCCGATACGGATTGATGGGCTAAAGTGTTAACCGTAGGTGGTCGCTTGTCTTGACTCTTTGTAAGTATCCACTTGGGCCACCATTTTGGCTCAAGTGGACACTTCCCTTTTGTCTTGGAATCTGAAATTTCTCATTCCCCTCCTACCAAAGCCATGTACACCCCCGCCTATGCTGGTGCCGCGGTTGCAGAGGCTAAGGCGAAGGCGAAGGCATCCATGGCGAAGTACCTGGCAAGCCTTGTGAAAAAGGAGGAAGAAGGTTGGACCGTCCTGGCGGCTGAGGTCCCTCAGGCACCGGACGAACGGTTCTTCTCCAGCGCCGACGAGCTGGAGCAAGCCCCACTCATCCCAGCCAAGCGTAAGGCCGAGGACGAGCTGATGGCGGACTCCCCCCCTGGGGTGGCGCAGGTGCCGAAGGCCCTGACACGCCCCCCAGGGGCGTTCCTGGAGCTTCTCGACCCTCCAGAGCCGGATGTTCCCATGGAGGAACTCCTGGCGGAAGACGAGGAGGAGCCCCCGATGGAGGAACCCCTGGCGGAAGATGAGGTGGACCCCCCGATGTCCGACACCAAGTGGCAGGGACGCCAGGACCTTATGGAAAAGGCCAGGGCGCAGGTGTCCTCGGAGGGGGATGAGGACCCCGCAGCCCCCCCGCCAGGGGGAAGCGTCTTCACCAAGGCCCTCAAAGTCTCTGAGGGCCTTTACCAATTCAGTGCGGACCAGATGGCGGGCGACTTCCCGTGTTTTGATGGGACCACGGCCGCCAGGCTCCGACGACTGCAGGCCAAGGATGTCCAGCGGCTCTTGAGAGGCTTTGAGGGCCCCCAACTCAAGCAGGGGGGCCTGGAGCGCGTGGTGGAGGCGTTCTACATCGCCAAGATGAAGTATGAGCATGAGGCCCTGCTCAGCACCCCGGGACAGAAGGTTGGCAAGCGCGCTGGCCTGGGGTATGGGGGCCTTGAGAACCGCCCCCTGGGTAAGGAGCCCACATCCTGGATCTGCCCCTGCTGCACCATGCCCTGGGTGAAGAAGGGCGCCAGGAAGTGTATGGGGTGCGGCAAAAAGACGGAGCCCATCGACACGGCGTCCAACTTGGCCACCCTGGAAATGGCGGGCACGCACTGGCAGCTGACAGTGGATGACCAGGGCAATGCGGTCTGGACGGCGGCCCGGTCCGCAGGTGCCGATGGCCCTGACACGGACCGGGCCCGCGACCTCAAGCTCAGCGCCTCGGTGGATGTCAGCGAGCTGGCCACCGACCCAATGGCATGCGAGAACCTGGACCAGGCCAGCTTCTCGGATTTTGTCCCCTCCTCGGTCCGGGCGGTGATCAGGAACTGCCCCATGGAGCTGGACGAGGATTTCCTGACGGCCCCAATGGGGGAAAGGCCCCCGTTGCCGGGCGACAAGGAAGAGGGCCAGGAGTGCAGGGCCTTCCACCCGTCGGCAGTGAAGGCCTTCAAAATCCAGACCCGGCTCAACGCCACCACCATCGCCCAGGAAGAGGCAAAGAAGGCAGACCAGGTGGCAGCGGTGGAGCGATCTGCGGCGGTCCTCCACGAGCTCCAAGGAGGGGCCATCGATGGAGGAGGCGATGGGGGACAACTCCTCAAGAATTTGGACTTGGACCTTTTCCGCGAGAAACTGCTGGATAAGCTGGGCGCGGACTGGGGGAGGCCCACACCGGAGCTCCTCCAGGCCCAGACCACTGCGGAAGAGGCGAAGGCAAAGCACCAGGCCAGACAAGCGAAGGGCGCCCTCGAGACCAGAATGCTCGAGCCCATCAAGCCTCCATTCAGTGCGTGGCCTAGCGAGGTCCGAGTTGCCATTGAGACAGGGGTCTTTGAGCCGACCACGGCATGGAGGGATTTCAGCATGGACGACCTCACGTCCCTCACGGACTCCTACCTCGAAGCCAAGGCGGTCATCTCGCTGGGTAGGAACCCCTTTCCGGGGGCCCTCCTGGCAGATCTGCCGGATCTGGCGGGGATCCCCATTCCAAAGGCGGGGGGCTCTGGTGCGGCGCGCCCAGGTGCCGAGGGCCCTGACAGGCAGCCCACCATCCCCCCAGCTTCGGGCTCTGGTGCGACGAGCTCAGGTGCCGAGGGCCCTGACAAGCCGTCCGCCACCCCGGGGGGCCTGGACACCCAGGACCCGGAGGTGCAGCTCGCGGTCCTGCGCTGGATGATGAGCAAGCGTGTCGGAGAGGTCCGCATCTTTGCGGGCCGCTGGGTCCGACGACCGGGGCCCGTACACGTCCCGGACTGGGCCAACAACCTCACCAAGGTGAATCCGGAGGCGCTGGAAAAGGGTACGCATCCCAGGAACCACCAGGCGGGTGGACTCCCATGGGCCAGGTACTCCGTTGAGGAGCTGAACCAGCAGGCCAAGGCGGGGGACCGACCATACCCCGAGGACCTGCGATCCATCTTCTGGGCGGCCCCCCACGATCCGGAGGAGGACTTCCACTGGACGCGCCAGATCTCGTCCTGGACACTCCCAGGCTTGCTGGGGATGTTTGGTCACAGCTTCACTCTGCGCCAGCTCTGGGGAGTCTGGGAGTCTCTGCCATTGCTTCAGGGCCCTAGGCAGCGGGGCCCGAAGAACAAGGCCCAGAATCAGATCCGCCTGGAAGGCTGGGAGACCCTGAAGGAAGATGCTCGGTGCTTCCTGAAGGAGGAGGGCCTTCCGCTTCCGCAGACAGGACCGGAGTGGCGCCTGGTCTACCGGGCCATGGGCAAGGTCCTTGCGGCCCGGGCCTTCCTCACGGACACCCCGGCGGAGGTAATGCAGCTCCCGGTCCAGGACGTGGCGGACTCCAAGGAACAGATGATCCTCCGGGCGGTATGTGATGAGCGCATATCGGTCCCGGTGGAGAGTCTCCAGCAGTTCCCAGAGGTGTACCAGGCCCTCATGGACCGCATTGGAGGCCCGGGGGCCCTGGCGGAGGTGAAAGTCAACTGGCGCTGCAACACGAAGCAGTGGTGGGTCGGCGCAGTCCCCGACTCAGTGGCCCCCTCCATCTACCGCAAGCTTGGCTACACCAACGACATGATCAAGCTGATGGGCCTGGACCCCTCCGCCCCCGGGTGCCGGACAGGTGCCGATGGCCCTGACATCCGCCCCAGGGGAGGAGAGGGCGATGAGGGGATCGTCTACCCCCCCATCACATCGGACAACGTCCACGGCGTGGTGGGCAAGGAGTACAAGAAGAAGAACTTCTCGGCAGAGACGAAGCACGTCTTCTGGGCGCACATGGAGTGCGGCCTGGTTCTGAGCTCAGTCACCCCATGGGAGCTCATCCCCAAGACGAAGGGGGAAACCCGGGGGGGCTATATGTGCAAGTACTGCAAGGGGTACTGGCGCGCCGGGGGAGGGGGCACTCGCCTCCTCCAGATCCGGGCCGGCAAGGCCATCCTTCAGCTGGTGCTGGACGAGCCGCCCGATGGACTGTACAACCGCTGGGTCAAGGAACGGCTGGAGTTCTACCGCCGGGTAGAGCCGTCTGCCCCGCTGCGGGATGTCTCCGTGGTGGACCAGAAAGTCCCACGATTTAGGTTCAGCCACGTCACCCAGACCGGCCATGTCTCAGATGCCATCTGGGAGCTGATTCTCCGGAACCCGGAGGCGGCGGCGCTCAAGCGCATTGACGACATTGCCAAGGGGGCCGTGTGATCATGCAACACTGCGGCCATCCGGAACGGAATTGCAGGGCACCCCGGGGGAGGACAGCTGCCGATGGCGCTGATATCCCCCCCGGGCACAGCACAGGCCTTGGCCTGCACCAGGCGAGAAAAAGGGGCGCGCTTGGGCTGGTCCGGAGTGCGCCTGGGCTCCCCCCCCCCCCCTCGTTTGGTTTTCCCTTTCCGTGGAGGCTCCCCGGGTCCCCCCCCCCCGTTTTCGGGTTTGGCTTTCCGGGGTTTTTGGGGCCGCCCGGGTTTCACTTTCCGGAGTGGATGTGGGCCTCCAACGTCCGGCTTCGCGAAAAGACCCCGGACCCGTCCAAGAAGCGATCTGCCGCATGCATTGAGTGAAAGAGAGACCCGGAAGAGGACTTGGGGCCCCCCGGGGCCTTTTCCCGGGTCTCTCTTTTGAAGTGCGTGCAAGGCGCCCTGAGATTTGGCTCCGGGCTCGAGTGGATCATGATGATGTGGAGGCCCCGCCTCCCTTCCCCGTTTGGAACGACCTTCCTAGGGGTCCCAACCGCGGTCCAGTTGATTTTGCATGACCTTGGATTGCACCAGTGCAGTCGGACGGGGAAATCCTCGTGGCGTGCTGCCTGGAATGGGTCAAAAAGGACCAGGTTGCCAACCCGGATGCGGTGGTCTTCGACCCGCGACCGTGGACACGAATCGTGGGGATGGCACCCGACGATGACCATGTCCTGGTGGCCTCGGACACCTACAACTTGATCCTCGCAAGGATACTCGGCTCCCAACCACAACCGCTGGAGGAGGCGGATTTGGAGCTCGGTACCAAGACCCTGCAGCAACTTCTGTTTCGTGCGGCAGGCGCTAGACAATCGTACACCTATTCTCCACTGGAAATGGAACAGGCCATCCGGGACCGTGAGGAGTGGATCCTCTCCGGATCGATTGAGGCCCCGGATGTCCTGGCAGTGGCCAACAAGTGGCGGCATTGGAAACCAGGGAAGATCAAAACCCAACTGCCGACATCCCAACGAGCGTTGGAACAGCACTTGAGGGCCAGGTGGCTGGAACGCCTCCTGGGCTA